AAAAATATGTATGCATTTTTTGTGTCTGAGTTTTTTACTTCTCATATCATAATAACTTACCAAGTCATTACTAAATATTCTCTCAGAACATGATTTTAGTGGCAGTTAATATTTCAATATAAAAATCTATAAAGAAATATTACCATATGTTGTAATATATGTGTATTATTAACAGTGAACCATGTAGTACCCTTTTATTCTTCTTCTAAATTCTACATAAATACCGGAGTAGCCAGGTCTTACTAATATTACAAATTTGCCAATATGGAAAGATAAGAAACAGATGCTGATTTCTCAACTGCCGTCGAGTTGATGCTGACTCATAGTGACTCACGTGAGTTTCCAAGACTGTAACTCTTTACAGGAGTAGAAAGTCTGGTCTGTCTCTTGCAGACTGGGTGTTGGTATCGAACTGCTGACCTTGTAGGTAGCAACCCAACACATAACCACAGTGCCACTAGGGCTTCTTATAAGCATAGTGATTGTATATTCAATTTTAAAGTGTTCTAACAATAGTCTTTACAAAGTCTTGTATCTGAGCCCATTTGAGAGTTGCAGGAGATAGAGAATGAGCCAGATGGCATTTTGAGGTCCCCTTTAGCTGTAAAATTCTATAATTATGTGAATTGAATTGTGAAGATATTTGAGAATCAGAAAAACTCCAAAATAGGTCATTTTTTAGATAAACAAGCTTTATAGTGTCTTCTTTAAATTATAAAAGTGTTTCAAGGCTAGAAATGAAAAGCTCTTGAGAATTAAAAATTTTTTTTACCTTATTTTCGTGTCTGAAAGAATCTCATTAAACTTTTTGTAAAAAGCCACCTGTCTGCTAGTTTCACGAGGGTGGCATAACTTTCCTCCGTCTGAGAAGTTCTTTGCTGACGATGCTGCTGTTGAAAGGTGCTGGGGAAGTTGGTTCCTGCTCAGAGGCTGTCGGCCCAACTTGTCAAGGATCGTCCCGTTTCCTCGGCCCCTCTACTAGTCATCGAGGCTCATATGTTTGCAGTTCATTCCTTCTCGTTAAGTTTGCATTTGTTTTTGCTGTGTGAGTATAAGCTTGCCTGCTTTTGCTCATTTCTTTGCCTCTTCTGGATCTTTTGAAGTTTCTGAGCATCGTGTGATGATCCCAGGGAACAGCTCTTCGTGTGCATTGGCGAGGAGTCAGCTAACCCACAACAACTTGTCATAGAAAGGGGTCAGTTTCATCAGGTTTCATGAGAATTATTTCTGAACTTAATTTTTTTTTTTAGTTTTTGTTTTAGCAATATGATTAAATTGACTTGATGACAGTAGGTTTGGATTTTGTTTATAGTAATTGGAAAAGTATAATCCCCTTAGGGACTGATTTTTATCTTTAAAGGGAAAGTCCTCATGGGAAATTTAGGTTTACCTAGAAATTTTCTGTAATAGATTGATTTTTGTTGTCGCTCCCCCCGCCCCCCCAAATGTATTTAGTAAATTCTATGCCTGTGATTACAACCCTCTATAGGAATGAGTTTTTGCGGTTAAGGTAGAGAGATGTATTATTGTAGACTGTGACATTTGAAAGGAGCCTTGGTGTCCAAGTGCGTGACCCAGGCTGCTAACCACAAGGTCAGCCATTCGAAACCACCAGCCACTCCACCAGAAAGAGATGAGCCTTTCTACCCGCATACAGACTCAAAGCCTTGGGAACTCACGGAGACCGTCCTCTCCGGTCCTGTGGTGTCACTGTGAGACAGCTCTGACTGGAGGGCAGTGAGTGAGATAGTGCTGGAGTGGGTTGCTCGTTGGGCTGCTAACCACAAGGTCACTGTCAGGAAGCCACCTGCCAAAGGGACAGGAGTCATTCTGCTCTCGTCAAGATTCACCACGTGGCAAATTCTGCTCCGTCCTGTGGGGTCGCTATGAGTTGGAATTAACCTCTTCTCG